TGTACAACAGCCTTTCTTCAAGAAAATGGTTTTTGGCGCTCACCGCTTGAATACGAAAAGAATTCTCTCTTAATTTCTTTTATTTTTAYTTCTTCTTGATTTTAACGAAAGCAATTATTGTTCCTTGCGTCCAATTGGCTTTACTAATATAGCCGAGCTCAATTTGTACTAATCACACGAAGAAGCGCCCCTTTCTCTGGCCATTAAATATAAATAAAAAGCAAAGAGGTTTCTAGGGTCATTCATTTTGTGAGCATCGGGGAATACGGTTATTATCGATAGATGAGACGGTAAGCCGTGTGGGGTGGGCTCCGAAATCATATAAGAACATGCGTAATAGGTAAATTACGAGCCTTGTATGAAACGACTGGGCCTTTCACAACTTCAAGTCGCGTAAAAAATGAGCCAGCTTAACTAGAAACCGTGGACAGCTGTTTCGGCCTGTATTGGGCACGTCAGCACGGTGTATCTAATGAGCTGGTAGTATAGAATCGGTTATTATCGATTGATTAGCTTTGTGTCGTACAAAATTGTACAAATTAGTACACAGTTTTGTATGTACGGTATAGTGAAGTCTACTGATCTTACTAATTTGTAGTTCTCTCCTGTGCTTCGAAGGAGAAAAAATCAACGCTTAAATTCCAATTTAAATTTGAGTGGATGAAGAGCCATTCTGTGGAAATTCCACTGTTAGGTCCTATTTATTTTGCTATTTATTTATTAAAATCGATTAGGTTAAACCGTGGTGACGATGAGTGTATAACTAACTAAAATCCGCGGAGCCTTCGTCTCTGCTTGCTTGACAGCCTCGCGTTTTTCCGGTCGCTACGCAATTAGTAACCTAAGGCTAATGACTAAAAATTTTGCAAATTAAGAATAAATAATAGATAATTGATGAATGTATCGATGTGTGAGGTTTGAACTGATGAGTAAAGAGATTATGTGTTTTGCTAGCAGGAAGGACGGTATGTAGAGGAGAGTGAAATATACTGCCTTTCAACGATTTTTACTCGCCTAGATAAAATATGTTTTTACAAGAAATGAATTTTGTGTTCCCTATTATAGTTTGATTAGTATATTAACGTAATCTTTTTCCATTGTCCAGTTTCAGAATGGGTATCTACCTAGCTTGGATCGCTGTCTCACTCACACTACTGGTACAATCAGGTATTCTCTCTACCGCTTGTTTATTTATTCATTCGCTATATAGCATCTTTTTATTTTCCATCTTAATGTTTTAAAATATCCAGGAATCTAATAATCTATCACCGATACACCAACACCAAAAAGTACAAATGACAAACCCATAAAAGCTAAAAACAAACTAATTACGAAAAAGAAAAAAAAATCAGACTCAAAATAGAAGCGTTTTTTAAAAATTCCATTTATATAACAACAATACATAATTGTAATTTGCTACATGATATATAGGTGTTTCCATGGATCGGGTGATACTTCTCGAATTGTTAAATTTCACTGCTATATATAGTTGATAGTTTTCGTTCCCGTTTCTTTGTGCGATAATTATATACATCCCAAAAAACATTGTTTATTTAAGAAGGGATTAAAATTAGATTCTAAATCTTATGATATTTAAATTTATTATAGAAGCAGTTTATTGTTGTTCTCCAGTTTGTGTGTGTGTCTTTTTTGTTGTTGTTGTTGTTGTTTTAATTATTATTGTTGTTGTTTTTGARTAATACCCAGTCTAGCTGTGGTTCAAAATGTAGTTATCCTTTGTTTGTTAATAGTCTTAACAAGGATATCCCTGCAATATCCGGCAATAGGAAGCAAAAATAACACAACTTCTGGGACAAATAAGTTAAAGTGATGAAAGTTTTCACGTTATCTATAAGTAATTGTAAGGAAGTAAGGAAATCTTCATTTTAGTTCGTAAAAAGGACATTTAAAGTTCTTGAACTTGGTTTCTGAAACGATAAAAAGGGTGTCTAAAGTCAGTTCAGAAGTGACTCAGTAATTACAATGCCAATTTAAGTTTTCATTTCATTTGATTCAGTGTAATTTTCTCCAGCTTTACGGCAATTAAATAACTTAAAACACGGTCAGAATTGAAAGAAGATAATCAGAACTTCAGATCTTTTCCTTTCCCACCCTCTAGGGTCAGGGTCAGGTCAAGGGTGAACCATATTCCATCTATGTCTTCGTTTCCGTGTAGGTTTTAATGATAGCGGCTTCGTTCGGTCAATTTAATTAGTAAGTAAGGGATTTGTTGGTTGCAAAACTCATTAAAGCTGTAAGGACAGCTAATTTAAATGTGACTATTACACGCGAAGAAACGTTGAAAGCCGAAGATGAAAAATATAGCCATCAAGTATCAGTGGTAAGATAAGATAATTTTTACGATATCGTATTTTCCATGACAATAAATGATCTATTTCGAGAGGTTTATTAAAAATTAAACGAAGTTAATTGGTTGTTATCGTTACAAACCTTGACCTTTATTTCATATCTCTGTCAATTAGTCCTCTAGCCCGAAAGGGCTATTAACCGCATATAGGCCAGGAGGGCGAGAAGACAAATGTTTTAGTTAAATCCAACTATTCAGTCAAATATATAGTTGGAAAGTTTTGAATTAAATTCAAATTTAAATTTAAAGTTTTGGCTTTCAATGCCGGCACTTTTTGCTGCTAGTCGGCTATACTTATAGTTTAGTAATAGCTCATCCAATCAGAGCGCAGTATTGATGTTAGACCACTAGTTGGATTTGACTAAACGTTATGATCTATCTGTTTTGAAAAAGTATACTTGAGTTTCGAAAATGTGTAGCAAGAACAATCAGGATTTTTTTATCCCGTTTTAAAAGTTTTTTTTTGTCCACGAGTAGTGTTGCCCGTCCACATAGAGCTGTTAGATCGTATGGTGTAATAAGCTCACGGCACGGTGGTCACACTGCAAGGCATACGCCAGACATTACACGATAATTCATCACGGTCACGGCAAGGCATGCATACGGCATCGACTTTTTCACAGTCATACAAAAACTGTTCTATATCGTTTTCAAGGGCAATCCTTGCTCATCGAGAAAAAATCCGTTATCAAAAGTATCCCGATACATGTGAACGGAGCAACGGTCGAGTCTGATGTCGATACACAGCCTGATACGCATACTGATACGAGCACTTTTCAGCGCGGGCTAACTCATCAAGTTTAATTTTCTCAAGCGATCTTGCGTGATTAAAGTCATGTCGGCGCGCGGTCTATGTCTCGTGCAGTAAATAAAGCCGTTATTCATGTGGCCGGGATGAACTATTTGATCTCCAGCAAAGATTTCTAATCCTGAATTGATCCACTTCTTTGAAAATATTAAGCCAGTTATTAGTGACTTCTTATCTGAAAGAAATTTCTACCGCAAAAAATACTGAGTAAAAGCCTCCTACGCAGAAGTTCTTACGAGTCGGTCTCGAAAAAAAACGTTGAGTGAGAGACCCTATGAACGTCTGCGTAGCAACCTAGTCCTTGCCTGACGAAATCTTGGTCATTTTTCGAGGTAGTGTTCAATTAATAAATGTGTGAACTTTCTGTTGTACAAATGTTCCGCATATAGAGTAAATAAGGGAAGAAAGTTTTGGTCATTATCCGAGGTGGGTCCGCTTGATAGAGTTGTGTGTAAGACTACGGTACGCGAGGGCTCTCCTGTTCTGTGGAGCTCGTTTTATTCAACCTTGTCTTAAACGTTACCTACAAGTTGAGTGTCAGATCTAACTAAACAAGCAGAGCCATGTTGACCAGAAGGACTTTCCTTAGTCGGTGTGGCTGTCAGTCGGGATTCCTAACTCGGCCATTGTCCTTCATTAGGTCTGTACCTCCCAGTACAACCCGAATTACAAGATTGAATGCGTAAAAATAGCTAAATGGCTCGTCCTTATATAGTCAGGTACAAACTAATCTGAGATTCTATTACATCACGTATCTAGACAAGTTTAACCTTGGTGGTTTGAATGTCTAGAGGTTTGAAGAACAGGAAGCTACATGAGTAGATATCTAAGTCAAAACAGTCTCGGCCTACTAAACTAAACATGCTGGACTTGAAGAATCAAGTGAACAAATCATTTCCGAAATGAGTTGCATAACAATATGTTAAATATGGGAGTTATTATCCTAGGTAGAATCTGTGTACTAAAGGGTGCCCGCTTAATAGAGGATGAAGTTAATCAAAAGATCCCTTTCGATTGTACGTCGATTTGTGCTCCATTTACGGAAGGTCAAGTCAGTGACTACAACTGAATAGATGTGATCAGTCATCGGTACTGACGTCATAGATAAGCAAAAGAGTAAACTACCGCCTGCTTTCTGATCATCGCAAAGAAGCTTGGTCTTGCACACCCCTTCCTCTCAAATGAGTCATCCCATTGAATCAGAATTCGTCTGTTTGATTGAGTCATTTACTTGGTGGTCTAAAGCGTGTGTTGTTGTGCGTGTTTTGCAAGCCCGGATCTTCCTCACATCCTGTACTACCTAGATGCGGGTGAAGTCATCAGTACTAAACATGCTTATAAAAGAACGAGCCCGAGATCGATTGTGAAATAAAAATCAGTATATCATCTGAGTATATAACGTTGATACTATCGAAGAAATTCTAACGATATCGTTCGTGCATGTACAAATACTAAGACGGTGAATTACTTTATCAACTTACGTAGTATTTGACATATATACGGAGCAAGGAATGGGGATCCAACTTACATTTTGTCTCATTTTCACTTGTAAGTAACTCAGTTTTCACTATTTCCCAAGTATCATAATCCTTAATCCTTTTTTTTTTTTTTTTTTTTTTTTTTTTTTTTTTTTTTTTTTTTTTTTGACTGCTGAGTCAACGAAAATAAAATACATCGAATTTGCCGGGGATGACATATATAGGATTTTCTTTGAAGTAACTCCAATTTTCAGCCACATTTTTCGCAGTTTCCCGAAGTGTGCTCAAATAACTGCGTCTTTGCAAAGTCTTCTTACGACTGCATCCTCTTTGTAGCTACTTTTTGATGGGAGGAAACATTTAGTCTGACAATCCATAGAACTACACTTAACACTTTGACCATATTCTTCGTATGCTTCACATGATATTTTCCCCTCATCGTCCGACCTATTAGGTCATTGCGGCGCCTCTACTCATGACGTATTTCCGGTGAAGAGAGGGTCACGCACGGATCATTGGCGTGACTATAATGTTAGCTTTTGGACGTCCTGAGTGCTTTTAATTAGCTTCCTTGAGATAACATTTTCTTTTGTTTCAGGTGTATTCTGCAAAACCATCAATTCAAAGGTAAGATGTGAGCCAAGGTATCCCTTATACGCAATTGTATCAGTGAAGTCAAATTCCCCCCCCCCCCCCCCCCCGGTCACATTTAAGCCAGCCTGTGCACATTGATCTATCGATATTGGATTTTAACGTAAATAACCTTGCAACGAATTCACAAATAAAAATTATTCACTCATGCCGTTGAAAACACGTGTTGAAAATATTATTGTTTGAATATTTATATTTGTTTTTGTACGTTACTAGTGAACAGTCACTGAAAACGTCATCATTTAGCTAGCACTAGATTATCAAATGTTTTTTTCCTTACACAGTTTTCATTCTCTGATATATACAAATATTGTTGTGCATTTTAGACGATTCATCATTTGATGACAAAGAGGGAACTTCAGAAGTATTTCGGCGTCGAAAACCATGACCAAGGTAATRAAAATGTTGGCTGAAAAACTGCCAACAGCATAGATGTGATGTACCGTTATCGTTACCGTGGCCGTGGCCGTGGCCGTGCAATGTCCTACATCCTGACAGGAAGACCATTTATTGCTGCACTACGTGTGCCGTGTGCCGTGTGCCGTGTGCCGTGTGCCGTGTGCCGTGT